CACCTCTGAGAATAAACCCCAATACGAACAAACAAAAAACCAGATCAGGCCTAATGTGCATCAGAGAGCAATCAACTGACATGATTTTTAACTGTTCGAGTCAGGTTTATCCTTTTGATCTTCTATGGTCATCTCTCTAATGCACTCTAATTGTTAACTGCTTTCCTTCCATCCCTGTATTATGGATAGATGGAAATCACTATAGGCTTGTTTTCTATGTAGTTCCCACAAATGTATCTTGGGCTCCCACTATCATCCATCACCTTCTGCAAACTGGATTCTCACAATATAGGCTCTGATACCATTCTCTCCTTCAACTTCAGATTATGTGATTTACAATTTTACAGTAACTGATGTTGGTGTGCTTCTTCCATGTGGACTTAGTTGACTTCTCACTTAGATGTCTGCTTGTTTGGAAACAAGCCTTTAAGATCCCAGATGCTATTTTATCTGATAGCCAGGCACCATCTAATTTCTTCACATTTTGCTATAGCACCCATATCTTCTGTGTTCCCTTCCTGAGGGTGAGCATCAAGCAGGGCCATCATGTCAGAACTAATTGTTCTTAAGTTGGAGCTAGGATTTAGTATGAGCCCCAAACCCATTCCTGGATCTATGCTGTTATTTATTTAATCTGTCGTTGGCTCCCTTTCAAACTTACTTGTTAATTTATGGTAGAGCTTCTTATTGATTATCCCCCTGGGGCATAACGATCTTCCATTAACATTAATGTTACTAATGGTACTAATTTTTTAAAGCCTTGTTGAGAGAGGGATATTGGGCCAATGTAGGCTAACTCCAGATAACAGTACTTGAATTATTCACTTGTATAGAATCAATTCTTTCGTGATTGGACACAATTTACACAAACATTGGGGGTTAATTGTCAGGGAAATTTTACAATATTAATCATTGAGAATGCCAATCACAGGTTTGCCGGAATAATACATAATTTAATACAGAATTTAGGGCACTGATATAGTAAGACCTTATTTGACCACCAACCAACAATTCAACAGCCATGGTACAGCTATCTTCTGCTTCCTCAAACACCATGTGTTTTCTGTCTTAAGTCCTCAGGTTATAAGTTGTCTGAGGTAGAGTCCAGTTCACCCAG